TCCGCATGTGTTATGTCTTAAACGTTAGGCCGTTCACCGCGACGTTTTGGTGGACGACTGCGGCCGTGTACCATCCCACCCCCTTCATGGTGAGGGCCGGAGGCGTCAACGCAGATGATTCCGGGTTTGGTCCCATAGTGGCGGGCCAGTGGCGCCTCCCGCGCATGGCGCCTGCCACTATTGTCGTCACGTGTGATGTTTGCTAGAAGAGTGTGCACGTGCAGGGGCGTATGTCTACACCGGAATGCGTACGCGCTCTTCCGTCAGTGTTTGGGGGGTGAATGTGCAGTCGGGGTAGTAGACGGCGTCCCGACGGCGTCTCTGAAAGTGTTGCATATTGATTGCTCAAGTGGCCCTCCCGGAGTGTTTACCATCCCCAGGCCCATAAGGCGCAGGTTGGACGTGTTCATCGGAAGATCAAGGGCACGCTTGTACATTTTTCTGAGAAGCGCCTCAAGGGCGGTCTCGTCAAATTTGCGCAGGTGGAGGTAAGGAGTCGAGAAGAGGGCTCGACTGGGAACGAATGAATGTGCCAGCCGCTAGGCGTCTTTGCACCGTAACCCCCTGCGTTTGTTGGAAACCCGGAGGACCATTCGGGCCCACCTGCTCCCCCACCTTGCGCAGCTTGGCTAGTGCTGTGTCATCTCGTCAATGTTTGTGGATCAAGAGACCAAGCACTCTAATCTCATCATGTTCGGGTATCAGGCCGCTGGCCAGGGATAGGTTCATTTTTGGTGGTGCACCTAGGTGACGGGCGAATGCGCACAAATTCGGATTTGGACGTCGAGCACTAAAGTCCGCAGCGGCAGGCGTAGGCGTCCATGATCTCCGCAGCTTGCCCCAAGTTGGCCTCCATGTCTCCAGCCGAAACGTGTTTGGCCCAGATGGTTATGCCGTCGGCGTAGAGCATATGCTGGACGTCTTCGACCTTCCCCAGCTGAGCCGGAAGTTTCATCATGGCCAGTTTGAAAAGTAACGGCGATAGGACCGTGCCCTGCGGGGTTCCCCTCGTTCCCAGTTGAAAGGGGCCGTGTTTTTCGTCTTGTATTCCGATGAGAGATTGTCGATCCGGGAGAAATTACTTGATATACTAAAAGCTGTTATGTCCACAGTTGGTCTGGGAGAGATGTTGCAGGGTGATTTCGTGTGTGACGTTGTCGAAAGCCCCCTTCAAGTCTAGGGCGAGTACTGCCTTATCGTTGAGGGTGTTCGACAGGGTTGAGAATTCCTCGGTCGAGTTGAAGGAAAATATCCTGCGCGGACCGGTGCTGGCGAAAACCGAACATGGTTTCTGCGAATGCATTTTGGTTTTCCAAAAACTCAGACAGCTTGTCCTGCACCAATGTGTCCATCAGCTTCCCCGCACAAGGCGTGAGAGAGATGGAGCGGAGGTTGTCTGTGTTTATGTCTTTCCGGCGTTTGGACTGAAAGTTATTAGAGCGGGCTTCCATTCGAGTGGTAGGGGTGCCTCACCAAGCCATATCGATTTGATAAAAGCGAGGAGGTTTGATAGGCGGGGTCGGGAAGATTGGCAAGCGGTTTCACGGTCATCATGTCCCGGCCCGTGCCGTTCCTCGTTTCATTTTAGTCAGGGTCGCCTTCAGGATGTGCAGCTGGAACGGTTGATCCAGCTTCGCTTTCTCTGAACCTGCATACATGTACACGGGCCCGATAACGCTATCGCTTTCCACCTTTAAAAGCTAATATTTTTTTTATTGTATCAATATAAGATACATTTATTTTAAATTTTTTTATTGCAACCAGGACATTTTTATGGCCATGTGAATTGATGCAATGTCCAGGACATTTTTGTGACCATGTGAATTGATGCAATGTCATCCAAATATAAAAAATGGCCGCATCTCCACGTGGTGAATGATGATGATTGGAGGAAAGCTCTGGCGGTGCTGATGATACTGATTTTGTTCATAGGTAGTGTAGATGGTGCTGATTTTTTTTTTATTGCTCATAGGTAGTGCTGAGTTCCGGGTAGCGTTGGTATGGATCGTGGTAATATACGCATTTGAGCATTTGACCGTTTCGCCCTCTCGTCTATAAACGTTGAGCCAATGCATGCAAAGTTTAACGCGATTATATACGCATTTGACCGCAGCCGCCTTTCTTGTATAGACGTTGAGCGGCTACATGCAGTGTTTCATCCATGACATCCCCAGCTCTTGAGGTACTACCACATCTCAGAGCCCGTACTCGTCCCGCAGTCGTGGCCGAGTGGTTAAGGTGATGAACTAGAAATCCATTGGCGTCTCCAAGCACAGGTTCAAATCCTGTCGACTGCGCAAACATTTTTTTTTCTTTTTTAAGAAGACAGATGGGATGGCAATCGATGTGAGGACGGACGCCGGACGGAGAAGGCTAGACCCTAAGGACCTTCGCCCCTAAAAAGGTTGCGTTTGTGTTTCACGTTCTTATAATCGAACTTCTCTGGAGTGTGTTGTTGATATTGGGCGCTATCGGGCAGAAAACCATAGCGAGCAAATTTCTCCCGTGGAAGCGTCTGATGAGATAGTGACACATTCACCCACATTGTTTTCCGGCGTGATTGTCGACAACGCCACAGGCCGCCATAGGGTACGTTGTTTCACTTTTTAATGCATATTTGCATTAAGGCCAGTCGGCTTGTACATTAATATGAATTTAAACTGTGATTGAATTGCCTTTCACCTGAACATGTGGAGATTTATTCGTCAAAACCTCCTGACGAGCACCTGCCTGGATTAGGCAGGTGCTCGTCACAGAGCATTCGCTAAGTCGAATATTTAGGGCTTGTCTATATTACGAAGGTATTTGCCTCTGTAAAGTTCACTTCACTTGTTGGGTGAGAAGTGCAGCAGACTGGACGATTAGGAACTGCAAGCTGGTTTTAGAGATCGTCGGCGGTTATTTCGAACTGGTATTGTTTTTATAATTACTGTAGTAGTGCGGTAGTTTTACAGCAGCCACTATACATTTACACACATTTTTAAATGTGGTGTTCGAAAGGAAGGTATAGCAGGCAAGTCCCTTTTCTGTAGAATTTTTTGTTTTCAAATTTAAGTTAGTTACTGATAGAGTTACTGCAGATTCTATTGGTATGGTATTTGGAGTGTGCTCCAAACTTATACTTCGAGCCTGCTAAATCACTGATTTATTTACTTGCACACTTGAGCATTTGTTAAAATATTTATTTCATAAAAATGAGCCCGATAGAGTTACCCAGGTGGTGTCCCCAGTGACAATTATCGTAAGGCACGCGAGCAGATATTTTTCTTTGTAAATAGCTATTTGCAACGTGAACGATTGAAAGCGTCACAGTGGCCGGCCTTCCACGATTGGCCGAATTATGACGTCGCCAAAGGATTTCTCATCGTCGGAAATAAGAGTAATGCAAGGACTAAATTGTGACTCTTTTAGCAGTGTTGGTTTAAGAGTGCCATCATTTCAAGCTTCCACTATGCTAATTACAAACACCGAAGATCTTGTCGGTCGCAAGGTAATGATGTCAGCAGAGGGAACCAATGGAGGGCGCCATTAAAACATCTCTCCGCAAATATTTCGTGGCAGGTAAAGACTTTAGGGGAAGCTACTCCCATTTATTTATACCTTAACAAATCAAACGCTGGAGACGAGGTCACCTCCCCTCCAGCGTTCCCTCTGCTCAAGTAGAAATTGGTAAGAGGAGCTTCCCCTAAACTCGTAACCTGTCACTGACTATAGTATAGGATTTGAACATCAATATTTCCTTCAACTCAACATTAAACTTAAGATATAGTTGTCTACGCCACGGGTGGCCAAAGATACATATGCAAAAAGGTACAAACATATTTTAATATTTCAATATTTTTTTTAAAGGTCACCTTGCAGGTCGCTCTTGAGGTCCGCCTAGAGGACACCTCAAGGATGACGTCTAGGACGACGTCGATGGCGACGTCTTAGAGGACGACTTCAAAAGCGTCTAGAACGACCTCCGAGACGACCTCTAGTGCGACCTCAAGGACAACCTCTAGGACGACCTTAAGGAAGACCTGAATGACGACCTCGAGTGCTACGTCCTAAGGGACGACGTCAAAGAATATGTCTAGGATAAGCTCGAAGAGACCCTCTAGGGTGATTTCAAGGACGATTTCTAGGACGACCTCAAGAATGACGTTTACGGCGACGTCGAGGACAGCGTCTGGGACGACCTCTAGTAGGACCTCTAGAATGACGTCGAGGTTGACGTCAAAGTCGTCAGGTCCTTCGAAGAGGGTGCGGAGGTGAAGGAATTACCTACTGCCACTCGCTCAGCATATGCGCGGCGCAATGGGGTACAAGCACAGAGAGCAGAAATGGTCTACTGTGCATAACTTCTGCGCATGAGGAGGCTAGAAAGGTCCACGAAAGCGGATAGGGGGGGGGGGGTGGTAGCTAAAGAATGCTATCGCGTTAAGATATTTTAAAGGAACTATAAGACACATGATAAAGCTTGTAACCAGGCGAGCTGGTTTAGGTTGAACATTGTTAAGACCGAGACGAGCGGAATGAATGGGGACAGTACAGGACATACATCTCATACTCAGCTAACAACTTTTACTGAGAACATCGCTTATATATGTCTTTTCCCGCACCGATATCCGGACAACTGCGCACGTCCCATGGCCGACCGTTATACTATTCCTACACAAAACCGCCCACAGAGCCCAAACACACCTCGATAGGACGTTCAAGTGACCTTAAAAGAACAATGGCAACGAAAGCCCCAAGGGACCAGCCCTGAACCCAGAACAACTGGTTCTCACACAAGACAGACGAATCGGTATTATAACACGGCCCCTTTAAACACAGAATTATATTGGATCAAATAACGATTCATAACGACTGTTTTATAAGCGTATGTGTAAGCACTTTATTTTATCGCCCATAATTATTCTTAAAAGAAAAAGAGTGTCAGCAGCCAGGAGGTAATGTTGTGGTTGTAACTTCTTCCGTCGGTTCTCACTGGGACCACTCTCCTGAACTTCTTTCTATTGGGCCTTAACGTTCTTCTTGCACCACGGGTGATACACTTGCTGCGTGTAGGATGAATCACCTTTCCCGCATGCATTACCATATATTTTCTTGCAGTTTTCAGGGACACCAGCATCAACTGCGTTGTTGTGAAGATAGAGCTCACAGGCGCGCCCTATAAAGAAAATTAGTACTGTTATGCTTACTAACAACACCGCTGGAAAGGAACTTGCCATTTATGAGTGGACAAGCATTAAGTTGTTCTTTACAGCATGCCTATAAAATTACACTGGTTTAACACATGGAAGTCTGTAATGTATACACTGCAACTTTACGTTTTCAAGAAGGAGAAGGTATTGCCGCCGAGGTGGAAACAGTGCATAATTGAAGGGAGGAGATAACATAATTAAACTAGTCTTTAAAAATGCGTTAAGATTTTTAGTATTTTATTATCCCACAGTTGAATTTGTATCGCTTACCTTGACGCTAGAGGTTTAGTTTAGCGCCTGACATTCAAGAAATTTTATTTTAAAACCCAGAGTCTTAACTCGGCGCAAATATACAGGTGTTTTTGGAAACGCAGGCGAAATCGCTCCTGCTAAAACTGCGCATCGCGCAGAAAAAGGTGAATGTCGTAGTGGTCTGTTCTAGATTGGGCCAAAAAGCCGATTGAGCAATATTACTAGCGTTCAGTATAATTACGTAATAATTTACCTTTTAGTATCCTAATTCTCAATCATTAACTTTAAAGCTATGGTTTCAATTAGAATCTTAATGCACAGCATTGAAAACTACTAAATCCACCAACATTATAATTATATAAGGTACGCGCGGCATTTTACGGTGTTCCAAAAAATTATTCATATGGTCGCATTTCAAAATTGATATATTTTATCGAAGTGCATTTCCGGCGCCAGCAATCCCGCTCCCTGAGCCCAAAACGCGCAACGTACGTGCGCCGTCACGCATCGCACGTACAAGAGTATAGATAAGAAAGCCTCCAGACGGTCAGATTTGGTTTGCCTGTTTGACGTCGGTGCCAGTGTGTCGACTCACCGCTGCGTGAGACGCGTGGCAGCGCAAGAACGTTGTGCGTTTTGACTAAGGGGAGCGGAATGCTGGCGCGGAGATGTGCTCCGATAGAAAACCAAAACCTAGAAACGCGTCCAAATTGAGCATTATTTCGGAATGCCATAAATGATACTGTGCGTGTCTTATATTATTGTAATGTGGGTGAATTTAGTGTTTCTGGATGCTTCGCACCACGTTTCTGATTATAACCACACCTTTAAAATTATTAATTAAGCATTTAATTTCTGAGAAGTAATTCTTTATTTATTCTTCATTTATCATTGTCTTGCAGCGCCATCAGGCATTATCGAAATGGCCGAATAAACTTGAAAAAAAAAACATTTCTGAATTCGCTGCACACACAATAACACTGGGCAAGGCATTCCACTCCTTAATTGTTTTAACAAAAAGCAACTTTTGCCCAATTCCGCCCTGGTGCGGTATTCTCTAACCTTAAGAATGTGGTCTTTCCTTTTTTAGATATAATTTGGTGGTAACATGTAAAATGAGCTATTAATGCCAGTTTTATTGTTATGGATGTTGTATAAAAACTTCAAGCGCAAATTTCTTCGTCTTAATGCCAATGTTGACCATCCCAGTTCTTTTTTCATGTCGGTTACACTCTGAAAACGGCCGTACCGCACCAAAACAAAACGAGCGGCACAACTCTGAATTCTTTCTAAAGCAGCAATGTGGTTCTGCTGAGAAGGATCCCAAACGGTGCAGGCGTACTCAAGCACTGGGCGTACATAAGACAGATAGGCCAGCTCTTTGATTCCCTTAAATTTTGCTTTTTTTAAAATCAAAGCGCTCTGCGGGCCCTCATAACAACGTCGTTAATGTGTGCGTTCCAGGTGCAGTCAGCTGACAGAGTGACGCCAAGATATTTAACTGTTTGCTTTTTGTTACGGTTTAATTATTCAGTTGGTAACATGCTTCAACTTTTGGTTTTGCGGGTAAAACTAACATGGGCACATTTTTAACGTTTAAATTCCACTTTTTACACCATTGCTCTATTCGACTAAGATCAGATCGTGTATAAACAACACAATCATCTGCAAACAATCGTACCTGGGAATTTGCACCGTCATTATTATCATTAAAACTATTAGAAACAATAATGGACCCAAAACAAACCCACGGGATAATTTGATTGTAGTTAGCATTGATGTAAATTTACTATCGATAGTGTTATCGATAGTTTCTTCACTATCGATAGTTCATTCGACTATCGATAGCACTCTCCATAGTCGACTATTGATAGTCTATTATCGATAGTGCTATCGATAGTCGGCTATCATGAAAATCGATAGCATACTATCGATAGTTGGCTATCGCGAAATTGTTTATCGTCGAATACCAATAAAATAGCGATACCCAACTAACGTAATGCTATTGATGGGTTTTTATTCGATGACGGACGAAGAATGTCCGGGAAATGTCGTGTAGCTCGGAGAAAATGCAACTGCAATAGGGACTTCATCATAATTATCGAGGAACGATATTAACCTATTGAAAACAATCACAAAATGGTAGTAACTCTTTTTAGAAACTATTTACAATATTTTATTAGATTAGAAATTCTATACTATTGAAAAATTATGAATAAAAAATATCAACTTGATAGGCTGTTGGAGAAGTTTGTTTTTTGCTGTTTAGAGTGCTATCCGGGGTGTTCCCTGTGCTTTTTATGAGCTCAATCAGAAAAATGAATATTTCTGTAGCCTCTGATGCGTAAACTATGTATGTGTTGTATAAATCCCGAAACCTGCTTGAATATAAAGCTAACGATGGGGATCAAATGTACAGTGCAGGGTCATAACTTTACCCGCATGAAAAGAAAAGTATGGCGTTTCTTTTGAAACAACGAAGTTTCAAGAACGAAAAAAGCATTATTTTCTTTCGGATTTACAATATTCATTGAACTGAAATAATGCCTCATTTACAACAATATTGTTACTTGAATCACAAAAATAAATTTCGTTTTTATAATTTAGTTTTGATTCAGTTAACGTCGTGTTCCCAAACATACAGTATTTAAGAATTCGAGAAAATAAAAGCATCAATTACAATGTTTTCTTGGTATAAGCATTTTCTCTGGCATGTTCAAATTGAATTCAGTGCCACAAAAGTTCTGTTACATTAATTTAAACAGATATATTTATTTAGAGGTTAGGGGACGGCCTCTGTATTTTAATTTTTTTTTATACCAACAGCTAGGTAAACATTTTCCCAGCCATCGTTATTAAACTCTGCCAAAATATAACCGAAAAACAAGTGACAATATATCATGAAACACAAGCCTAAATGCTTTCATCAACGGCTAATTTTAGATTTTCGGGAATTCCTTGTAAATAGTCATTAGTAGAGAACAAAATCCCAAGCAGAGTGTTCGTCTTAACCTGTCGTTGGTTAGGGCTATGAAAAGAAATGTGTGTCAATTGCATAGTAAAAAAAAAGCATCAGCCTGAAACCGATTTGTGAAAACCCTGATGCTAAATCTCCGCAGCGAGTGCTCTGCAGGACAAAAAAAATATACTGAATATACTGAAGAGTTTTACAAAGACGGACATACTTCAGTGTGAAACCTTATATTTGAACCCCATGAATACACAAAATATCTGCGCAGGAAAACTAGCAAACAGCCATTTCTGTTTTATTTCTACATTAATTGCACGAGAATGAAAGTCTATGTTTTCTCTCCCTTCAATTTCATGTTTTTCCAAACCATGCCTTGTCTGTCCACACATATCCGTCGTCATTACCTTTTTGGGTAGTGCTTGAATTATATCTAACCTCGACAGATTTTTGAAAATTTACTTTCGATAGTTCCTACACTCGACTAAAAGCCAACTATTGATAGTAGAATCAATAGTACTATCGAATTGCCCCATTGCTAGTAATATCGATAGTCCACTATCGATATTTTTTGACACAATAGATAGTTTTGAAAAACCTAACGATATTTTCAATGTTTAATTTTTTTCATAGTGTTGCTTCACAAGTAGTTGGTCAACAGCTAAAGTGGCAGTTGACTAACGCAAATGCTGTTCAACGATGGCATCAGTGGCCCATCAAATGCTCCAAATGCGCCTGAGAAAAACAAAGATTTCTTCAAGTTTTCTTTAAATTGGGGATAATGGGCTTCAATTTTATATCATATGATTTTCAGATTTTTTCGGTTCCAGGCAGGCAGTGCAATCTACCCGGTGGCTGTCAGCTCAAGCCTACTTGGTCGTGTGGTGACCAGCAACGTGGGATTGCAAGTCACTTCGAAGTCGCGTCGCCTGGTAAGGCAGTCCTGGTTGCATTCTGCATGTACTTGAGCTTTAAGTTTGAATACTATCACAAATTCAGGCGCACACTCGTTGCGCTTGAGTATTTTATTGGACTGAAACACCCAAAACTGGGAATCGCTCCGCATCACTTTCAAACCGAAAAGAGATGCTAAAATTATTGCATTGTTGAATGACTTCTTAGACAGCTTTAGGATTTTTTATTTAGTCTGTTTAATATTTTTTTTCGAGTTTGTCTGCCAGTGAGTTCTGCATTTTTTCATTGGTATTGGGCTTCAGTTATGGTTGCGCGCGGATGAATATATTATTTGTTTACGCACCATGGTGCCATAGGAGAAGAGAAAACCTTAATCAGCGCTCGATGCCACTTTTATTAATGAAGGAGCGATTAGCTGAGGACCACGTTGCGGTATCATCCGATCCGTGGTCGAACGTGGAAATACAATAAAATTTTGTTGCTCTAGAAATTAATTCGAAAGGGGCAACTAAGACATCATTCTTTTGTTTCAATGGTAAACCGTAACACTGCCATACGAATTTGTCGGGGCATGGGCCGAGTCAAGCCACATTTTTGGGGGCTTTTTGTTTTTTCGAACATCAAGTAACTTGGCCAATATAAAATCAAATTTTATTTTATTTGAGTTGGATGCATGATTTTTGCGAGAAAGATATACGTTTCGCTGAGATTTGGGGAGCATGGCAACCTAACTTGTGTTACTATTACGACAACATTTTTGTTTCCCCGCATGCAGCCTAAGCTCGCGGAACGCAGACGGAACAGACGAAGGCGTACAATGCCTCCAAGCTCTAATAGTCTTCGTCGGTTGTTTCCGCCTAATCCTAAACTAATAAAATAATCTTCCAGACAAGCGTCCAAAAATAATCTGAGAAAAATGCGGGAATGTGTCCTTTAATTTTTTGATGAAGAAATGACTCTTTCGTGACTAGCCCAGTCCGAACCGTTAAGAAGCAGCACCCGCAGTGCCGCCTGGAATTGTAAAATATCCACATTTTAGTTTTAATTCAGCTGCGAAATCTCCTTGAAGCCTTCAGGCGTTAAGAAGGACAAATATTTTTATATCCAAGATAACATTTCATCAAGTGTAGATTATCCATTGAAAATAAAAGTTTAGATGTTGAGTGCGAATATTCAAAAACTTATTTCCAAGATCAGTCCATTACTGCAAGGACCACATTGGACGTCCTGCAGAGCTCTTTGACCAGGCATCGGGCATCGAGATGTGCCTGATCATACATTAATCAGCCGTCGGTTGGCCGTTCATGTGTGTGGTGCTCAGGTGTCTACCAGAATACGTCGTCACAAAAAACTTCTGATTCAACGCTCTACCCATTTCAATAAAACTGCTACATTTTTTTAGTGTTATTATCTCTTATTTTATGATGTACTTCTCGTTTTGCAACATTATTTTATGTATATTATACTTTTGTGAAATACTTGTGCTTTGGAACACCGTTTCTAATATATGTGGGAAAAACTGTTATTTTAAAGACCGCCCGTATTAATGTCTCCTGGGCGATCTAGGTAATATATAAATAAAGAACAAAAATATTTAATAAATAAATAAATAGCATTGATGGAGCGACCAATTTGGATGTTTTAGGGCGCTTAAGATGCCGAACGCACCATAATGTTTCTAGTTTTTTTTTCGATTTACGTATATATTTTTTAAAGCTGAGGAAACTAAGGAAAAGAAACCATTCCCACTTACCATTGTTTACATCCAGAACTCTTAGAATATCGCATTTGTCAGAGTCAGTGTAAATCAACTGGAATCTTTTTCCACTTGTGGCATCTTAAAACAAAAAAAGATTTCCAATTAACTACGCCTGTGAAATTCTTCGGGAAGCATGATGATACCACTCAGGGACGGAATATATCGCTTGTAACTATAAAAAAATATATTCGTTTATATTTTTTCTTTTGCAATAAGCTATTTATTTAGTCCCTCTCAAATGGGCACTTTCCATCTGGTCTAGACATTTATTGATAATAACTTTATTTCACTTTTTATAATACTTGACAGTCTTAACGCAACTCGACACTCTTCCAAAGAGAACGTTGACACTTTTTTGTAATTATTTGGCGTGGCATGATAGGCTCTGGCGAATTGGGAAATTAGGTGCTCCCGGAATACAATCTTTGAGAAACGTCATTGAAAACCGCATATTTTTACGTTCCTTTAAAATTTGTGCAGCTCAAATGATTTCATGCCCATAAAGGAACAAATCGTATGTTACAACATATCGTGTTATCAGTGAAGAATCTGGTTTAGTCGTGCTACTTTTTATATTTAAAAAAGCTTATATACAAGCATCAAATTAAAATATCTGTCACGAACACTTTAGTCGTGACCTCCCTTGTCTGAAATGAGGTTTCTGCTAATTTGTCTTTTTAACTCTTTCAGCCGATCGGCGTTTTGCGTGCGGCTTGTTGAGGTATGCACGCCTCCATTAAAAACAGTGAAAAGTGCTTAGTAATAATATTGTTACGCTTTATTCTCAGCGTATCTCGCCCCTGCTGTTCTCTTTTATCCTTCTAATCCGAACATCACTTCTTCTCCTGTCACACTATACGCTCTCAAAAATTAAGGGCAGTAAGTTCAGTTCAAGCTGAGCAGACCTCGTACCGAGCAAGGCGGTTTCTGTGTGCCACGAGCATGCGCGAACAAGCATTGCGTTGCACGCGGTGTACCACATCGTTCAAGCGCGTGACGACAATGAATGGTCCTTGCCAGTTACTCTGTAGTTTGGGCGAAAGCCCCCGTCTTCGCAGAGGGTTGTAAAGCCACACTTTGTGTCCCGGTTGAAACATTTCTTGCGTAGTGTGCTCGTCGTATCGTGCATTCATTCGCTGGAAAGCGATAGACAGGCGCCCTTGAACAAAGTCGTATGTCCGCTCGAGACGCATCATCTGGTCACCAACATAAGACCCGGGGTCAGAGGAACGGTCTGGTGTTCTTGAGAAAGCGAGGTCGCACGGCATGCGAATTTCCCGTCCGAAAAGAATCATGGCGGGTGTGTACCCGGTGACTTCGTGAACTGCGGTTCGATAGGAGTAGAGGAGCAGAAGGACAAAGCAGTCCCAGTCGTCTTGATGGTTGTTGACAAACATCGCCAAAGTCTGCACTATGGTGCGATTAAAACTCTCCACGAGGCCATTGGACTGTGGATGCAGCGGCGTCGTTCTTGTTTTGGTGATGTTGAACAGTCGACAGACATCTTGAAAGACCTGTGACTCGAAATTTCGTCCTTGGTCTGAATGTAATGATAAGGGTGCGCCGTACCGGGATATCCAGTGGGCTACCAAAGCGTCTGCCACGACAGGGGCGGCTTGGTCAGGAATAGCGATGGCCTCTGGCCATTTTGAGAAATAGTCTACTATGACAAGGAGAAACCTGTTGCCAGTTTGTGTTCGTGGTAGAGGACAGAGAGCGTCTATGGCGACCCGTTCAAATGGTGCTCCACTGACGCGTTCTTGCAACACCGCCTGTACGTTTTTTTGTGTGGGCCCTTACGCGAAGCGCACAGGTCGCACTGACGGCACCACAACTTGACATCGTTGTGGCACTGCAACCAGTAGAAACGCTCACGTGTCTTCTGAAGGGTACGGTTGACGCCAAAATGGCCTCCTTCGGGACTGCTGTGAAGCTGTCGAAATATCTGGGCGCGGAATTCGGGTGATGCAACTAGTTGCCACACGACGCGGTCACCAGTGGGTGTTTCCCAGCGTCGGTACAGAAGCCCGTCACGTAACTCTAGTGTGTCCCACTGGGCCCAATAGCTTAATGCTGCTGGAGATAGGTGGGATATCTCAGTACGTTGTGGCCGACGGCCGTTTCGTTTCCACTGGATGCACAGGCTGACATCAGGGTCACGTGACTGGGCCTCTTGTATTTCTTGCGGTGACCACATGCTGTTGTAGATGGTGAAAGGGCAGAGGGTGTGACTCAGGCCCGAATTACGGCGAATCATGCTCATGCACTGTCGACAGGAACCCTCACTACATGGACGCCTAGAGAGGGCGTCGGCGTTGCTATGGTGTGATCCCGCACGATGTTTAATCTCGAAGTCGTACTGCTGGAGATGTTATATCCAGCGGGCAAACTGACCTTCTCGTTCTTTAAAACCAAGAAGCCATGTCAACGCTGCGTTGTCTGTGCGGATTATAAACTTTCTGCCACACAAATAGTGATTGAAATGGGAAAGAGCCTTGACAATAGCGAGACGTTCACGTCTTGTGGTGCAATAGTTTCGTTCTGGCCTTGTGAAGGCTTTGCTGTAGTAGCCAATTACTCGTTCATGGCCTTCCTGTTGTTGAGACAGTATTGCACCTGCCGCGGTATTGCTCGCATCTGTGTCCAGAATGAACAGCGCGTTGTCTCTTTAATAAGCCAGCGCTGGGGCGACGTTAGCGCACACTTTAGTGCGTCAAAGGAGTCTTGGCATTCAGTAGACCATTTGAATACCTTGGACTTCTCGGTCAGGGCATATAGAGGCTTGGCGACTCGTGAAAAACCAGGGACGAAGCGCCGGTAGTACGTCGCCAGGCCAAGGAAGCTCAGCACGTCAGCACCTGATGCTGGAGTTTACCAGTCGGTGATTGCTGATAACTTCAGTGGATCAGGAGAGACGCCACTGGTTGCAATAACGTGTCCTAGATATCGGGCTTCCAGAGCAAAAAGGGTGCATTTTTTAGGGGTCAACTTCAGGTTTGCGTCTTGAAGTCTCTTGAGCACCAAATCGAGATTAGTCAGGTGTTCGGTGAAGGTCTTTCCAAGGACAACAATGTCTTCTAAATACACAAGGCAAGCGGGCCAGCTTAGTCCCTCAAGGACTTCTTTCATTAGACGTTGGAATGTTGCGGGAGCGTTGCATAGCCCAAAGGGCATGACTGTGAGTTGATAGAGGGCGTTGCCGGTGTTGAAGGCTGTTTGTTCGCGGTCTGATGAATGTACGGGAACTTGTCAGTAGCCGCTCTTGAAATCAAGGGTGGAGAACCAAGTAGATCCCGCGAGCGCGTCTAGGATATCATCTGTCCGTGGTAGTGGAAAATAATCTTTCTTTGTGATGTTATTTAGCTTCCTATAATCGACGCAAAATCGAGTGGATCCATCCTTTTTTTACAAGGGTGACCGGCGAGGTCCAAGGTTCATAGGCTGGCTAAATAACACCTTTTCTGAGCATTTGTTCAACGAGGTAATTCACATGTGAACGCTTCGCCAGTGGTAGTCTGCGAGGCGCTTGCCGAATGGGGTCTGCATCACCGATTATGATACGGTGCGTAGCCAAACTGGTATTTCCTAAGTCAGTGTCGCTACTGCTGAATACAGCCGAAAAAGGTGAAAGTAAACTCTGCAGTTGAACAGCGTCATTCTCTTGAAGGTGAGGGGCCGTGGCAGCATAGAGAGGTATAACGTGAGTTTTCAGACCACTAGAACACGGTGTTAGCGAGTTTAATGGCAGCCCATTCGCATAGCACACTGATACAGTCGCCGAGCCGAGATGAAATGCCTGTGCCCCAACGTGAAGGGTCCCTTGAGCAAAGCGAGCACGCATTTGTGGGTCTTTAAGAAATCCATTCCTAGTATGCAATCTTCAGTTACTTCTGCTATGACCACAGGTAGTGTCGTCTGCAGGCCACCAACTTGGAAGGGAACATTGGCTTGTCCTGAAACTGCAAGGGTAGCGCCAGTTGCAGTTCGAAGACTGGAATCAGGTCCCGCAGACATGGCTGAGAGGTGTAACTGGTCGAAGGATGTGGGTCGGACGACTGAGTTTGTCGCTCCGGTGTCTATTAGTGCACGCACAGGGACGGCATTCATTGTACCTTGGAGGTAGATGGATGAGGGTGAAGCTACCGAGGAAGTAAAAGTAATTTTTTTTCGTGACGCTCCCTGAGCACCCGTCGGTCGGGCATCTGGGGGTCTAAGGGGACATTGCATCTTGCTGTGTCCTTCTTGTCGGCAGTTCCAGCAGATCATCTTTGGTAGGACTGAGGCGGGTGCTGCAGGTGGATTCCTCGTAGCCAATCGTGACGCATTACGGGCGGCCTCCACTTCTAGCGCATGAATGTGGGCGGCTCGAAGTGTTTGAGGACGAGAAAGGCGAACGGCATCTTGAATCTCAATTGACGCAATTGCATCAAAAAAAGTCGCAGTGCCAGCGGCATCTGCAGTCTCTTCAGGCGAACCCACGAACGACAAGCGTGTAAGACGCTCGATGTCGTCAGCGAGCTGAGACAACGTCTCACCCGAATTTTGTCGCCGGTGGCGCAGTTGGGTGTGGTGTCGGTAGCGTTGATGCCCATCACCGAAGCGTTCCTCCAACGCTTGGACTAGAGAGGTGTACGACGTACGAGATTCTGGCGACATGTGGTGAAGGACTTGTAATGCTGGCCCTCTGAGATTTACTGCAAGTACCTGTGCTTTTTGCTCGTCGGTCCATCGATTGGCGGCAGCGAGGATCTGAAATTGTGTCGCGTAGGCGGACCAGGTGTCGGTGCCGTCAAATTGTGGCGCCCGTAGCTTGAGATACGTAGCAGACGGATCGATGGTCGGTTGAGCCGTGGGTGGAAGCTCATTTTCACCGGTTGGTAGGGAGCTTGGTTGTGCCAACGCTCGAAAGCTTTCGACGATTGCGACTGATGTTCTCTCGAAGGAGCTTGAAATGGCCTCCAGGAGAGCCGCATCGCGTTGCCTGAGCTCTTGGGCAGCCCTCTGGTGGTGGACATCCAGCAGAGCTGCAATTGCGGTCGAGGCATCGGCTTGACTGTTAGGCTCAACGGGATCACGAACTGATCGGGGGGAGATGGATCCTCCTCCAGGTTGCGGAAGCCCATCCGCAGGTTGTCGAGGAGGGTTCATGCTTGCCGGAAGACGGTGTCCCGAACGGGATCCCACTTCTGACACCAGTTGCTACGCTTTATTCTCAGCGTATCTCGCCCCTGCTGTTGTCTTCTATCCTCCTAATCCGAACATCACTTCTTCTTCTGTCACAATACTATTGAAGTATAACTAAAGCTACTGGGGCCTCTTTCAAATTGCTTAAATATTTTTCTAATCAAGATTTAATTCGCTCCTATTATGATAGTAGAAAAAATTGTGATTCAACATGGGCTGTAGAGTCATAAATGCTCAGTACAGCTGACACTAAGGAGCGGTGGGAAAGGCACGAGGCACAGGCCTTGTCACGCGAGGAATGCTGCTTCCAAAATATCTGCCAAATATCAGCTTATTTGATCCAATCTACTTCTCCTAGCAGTGACTGACACCAACGTAACTCTAAACATGGATAGGTTTTGGAACGACAAGGTAAAAACGTTTAGTCTGGAGAGACATTGAGAAAGTCATAAAACTAAAAACTTATATTGTTGCCTTCTAGTGCTGCTCCCTAACGTTCTTCAGAATACTGTTCGGCCTTTACTAATTCAATTTGTAATTCAGTTACTCGGGGTCGAATGTGGCTCTACACCAAATCCTATGATATTAAACTTACGTGTGCCTGTCTTGCCTGTGCACGCACTATTTTTTTCTATATTATTTGGTATAATTATCATTGTAAAGAGTCCCCGAGGAAGATAAACTTCACTTAAAAATAAATTGACTTCCTCCTGAAATAATGCGCCACTGGCGCACTGTAGGCGTCTGGTGGCTGGTGAAAAAATTAGCCTGGTCCGGGATTAAACCCCGGAATCTCTCCAAGGCTAGCGGAGCCCTTTATCTACTGAGCTAGCCAGGAGCTGGTAGTTAGTAGAGCAAACAGATGTTAACAGTTGTCACTAATTTTGATCCTAGCCACCGCAAGGGTAAGAGCAGTTTTGTAAATCAACGGTGGCGCCGCAAAGCTTCTAATCAGCTAGTCATCATTCGATGCTTCATAAAAAAATTTACTTTGGCGTTGTGCCCGCAATTTAAGGCATGCGATTAGTCCTTAGGATCAGAAGCTACTATAAAATATTAAAATATCATAAAAAATACTTATTTTACGTAAGCGAGCATCTGATGAAAACTGGGTTGTACTATTTTCTTACCTTTATGTGGGCTTATACGCATTGCGTTGTTATTTTGTCGTTCGGTGGCATACATCTTTGTTTTATAAGGAGTCGCATAAAGTGTCGCCGTTTGTCTAAAGAGAATGCACACAGTGGTCAATGTCTGAAAAATTACCTCACATATTATATCAAATGCTTAACTAGCTTACTTTGTGTTATGTTCTTGTGTTCCCAATCTATATTCCTGGACAAATTCGTAATCACTTCCATTTGGTTGATTTTCGTTCACTTTCACATACACACAAGTGTGCTCCGTTGTATATGTTCGATAGTACAACCAAGATTCTCGATCGGGGTTATTCAGAAACTGAAATTTTAAAAAGGTCAATCTTATACGTGTAGTCAACAGATTATGATATATACTTTTGAGAACGATTTATATCACCACCTAATGCCGCGTGCATGGTCGAGAGGGAACGCTTCTCCATACTTCTAGGAGATTCGTGTTTACTCTCCACCCGCACGTACATTCACCGAAAATGTCGCGGATAGAAAAGGATCGTCAAACGTAAAACTCCAAATAAAGGTTTAACCGGTGAACTTGTGCAAGAAATATATTAAAGAGCGCCGAGAAAGCAGCAGCGAACTTTGGGGTGTCGGCGTGACAGCTGGATAGCGCGTGAGTCCGAGAGTGAGTCGTCAAGACCACGCTGGGCTTTTTATCTACTGCACTTTACTATGGACGCTCTGCTCTTGTGTCCATATGCATTACTGATGGACACAAGAGCCGAGGGCCGTAAAATCTATTTCTCATTGGATGGAACGGTCCCGCTCTGCTTAGAAATCTATGAAGAGGGTATCACCTCCAAGGGAACGTGCAAAGAGCAGCTAGGCCACGCCGTTGCGAACCAGCAGCGCCGGAAACGCGCTGAAGAACTGCTCCAGGCGAAAGATCAAGGACCAAATGAAAGCTTCCTCTGGTTCGTCGAAGACGTCCTCCGACTGTTCGACCGCGCAGATCCCCTTGCGCAGGAAAAGACGAAGAATTTTAACATCCTCATGGGAGGAGTAAAACAAAGCACCTTTGGGGGCTTCGTACGGAACCCGCCTGCGACCATTGAGGCCTTCGTGAAAAAGGCCACAAGCATCGAGCGGGCCCTCTAAGCGCGAGCCACCCATTACCAGTGACTGCCCAACGTTGCTGCCCCCGCATTGACTAGCCTCAATGCTGGCACCGGCCTCTTTCCGCGAGGTCACCTATAAGGAGCTCAGGAGCTCCTTATAGGTGACCTATAAGCGAGCAATGCCAGCGAGCCTTTTAACTGCAGACACCATCAACGCTGTAACAGTACTTGATGAAGCCCCTGCGATAACGTTCCCCGCGATTTCCAGGAGGTCCCCCTAGTTCCTCGCCAGTACCAGGCGCCGACTCGACGGGACACGGTCAGGCAACATTATGTTCAACACCAAGACGACCCGGCCCAGTACGCCCACCTGAACTACCTGCACCGATAAAGGCCGACGTGCAGCGAACGGCCGCCCGTTGGCCGCTGTGCTGCCACTGCGGGGATGCCGATCACATATACCGCCTTTGTCTCTACCTGCAACTAGGGCTACGGCTACGCGGCATTACTAATAGTCGAGACGAGGCAAGAAAAACCCGAGCGAGTGATCGCCTACGCTAGCCACACCCTTTGGGACGCGGAGCAAAATTACTCGACGACGGATAAGGAATGTCATACCGTTGTCTGGCCGGTAACTAAATACCGACAGTATTTGTACGGAACCCGTTTCGAGCGGTCAAAGGCACTATGTTGCCGGCTCGACAACATTAAAGATCCATCAGGGCGCCTCGCTCATTGAAACCTACGGTCGCAAGAGTCCGACGTGACCGTCTTAGAGTGAGGCAGAAAGGACTGCGAACCCGACTGCCTGTCCAGAGCCCCGTTGAGTCAGCTCCTACCTGCACCGACGGCGACGACGAGAGCTTTCTGGGAGCAGGAACGTCAATGGCATGGCGAAACTCCAGCGCGACGGTCCTGTACTGCGGACTCTGAAAGAGGACTTGGAAGGACGAGGGTGTACAGTTATCCGTGTCTTCTCAAGACCATTGTCAACCTTCGCCATTCAACAAGGTGTCATCTACAAGAATAATTTTAGATACAGCAACTCGACGCGGCTCTTGGCGATCTCTTCCGGTCTTCAAGAAAAGATCTTCCAAGCCTGTCATGACGACCTGACATCCGGACGTCACGGTTACAGTAGGACCCTGGCCCGATTTCGTGAGAAGTACTACTGGCCTAATCTTCCGAAGACAGTTCGCCAGTACACAAGACTGTGCCATGAGTGCCAACGCCGCAAGAAACCTCCAAAGAAGATATCAGGACCCTAGAACTGATTGCGACTCCTACTGCTCCGTTTCAGCAGGTCGAAACGGACCTACCAGGACCATTCCTATCGTCGGTGTCGGGGAACCGTTGGATAGTCGCCTATCCGGTATGCCTACACAAAGGCCCATAATTTTTTTTTTTATTTCGGGTAGTGGCGGCGGCAGCAGGATACATTAGCTAATCTGAGCACTTCGACTGTTTTAGTGTCTTTTTGAATCCGCGCTGGACTCGGCCATACTCGGTGCTTTGAACCAAGCTGTCGGTGCTGTGGCGATTGCTCTCGCCAGCGTTCTGCTGCTTTTTCGTTGGCGGGCCTACCCTGCTGCTCTGGAAACCTTGAAACTGCATTAGACTCGGCCGGCACAGGCGCAGTTCTGGGCATCGAAAGCATATAAGCAGAGTGCTTCCATCCGGAAGTCATTTGGCAGCGGCGACGGGAACTGAACAACCTGGCTAATTTGAGCACATCCAATGTTTAAGGTCGGTAGACATTACTTTCTTTATTTTCTGACGTTACCCAAGTTCCCACCGCCACCGCTGAGGCTGCAACTGCCACTGCCGCCTTGTTATTGCCGTGTTTCCGTGATTTGTGAAATGTTCAGTGTATATTAGGCATGTCAGTCGCCCATTATGGAAGAGGGTTAGGGGTCCATAGAGTCTATGAAGTGTGCGAGCACGTACAATTTCGGAAAATGTGCGGCCATAAATGAGAATTCGTACAAAGGAAAAAGAGATCCAGAAAAAGACCTGCCAGGGTCCAACGTGTGAGAGTGGTTCCTCGCGTGCTAGCTGCGGTGAGGACAACCAGGCTGAACTTAGTATTGCGTTTGTTCGAGCGTGGATCAACCTGAATCTGGAATGTCTGCCACTTCTAAACGCAAAAGTAGAGAGCGTGGAACATTCTCTCCGGTACATGTCGATGCAGTTCGATGACTTCGAGAAAAAAATCAAACGCCAAAAAAAGAGATATTAAAGAACTAAAAAAGAGACTGACAGAACTAGGGGAAAAAGATAAGGCGTACAGAATAATGCAAGATCAACTCCTGGAGGAAGTGAAGGAACTGGAATTTCTGAGTAGGCGACTGAACCTCGAAAATTCACGGGACCCCTGCGGTGCAGGGCGAGTAGCTGATGATCTCATTACACCAAGTTGCTAACAACCTCAAGGTCCCCGAACTAGCACAGAACAATATCGTGTCTGTTCACAGGCTGCCCGCGGGGCAAGATAACGTCCCCGGAAATATTGTTCACTTTGCGAGGCAACAAGGCACGGACGCGTAGCCAAAGAAAGGGAATACTCTAAAGAACAGTATGCTACATATTGTTATACAAGAAAATGTAGAAGGGACGGCAAATATCTTTTACAATAAGCGAACAATCAGGCAAAAAAAAAAAAGGACATGCGTTTGCATGGCACACAGGCGGAAAAGCTCCTGTGCGAAGGACTGCAGGGGCACGAGTGATTCATATAAAAAACGACGCCGATCGATATTTCCCATCTTTAGGTAAGACTCTGAGAGGAAAGCGCCTTCAAAGGCTTGACGCCTTCTGTCTCAGTCCCAAGTTGCTATCGCTCTGCATGACTTTCCGTGCTATATATTGTACACAAAGAACCCGTTTGTTTATCTTTTGTTCGCTTGAACGTTCGGTAAGCCAAAGAAACATATGACAGTTTGTATGTACTGTTTGGTCGCCTTGGTTTTTCTTTCTCGGTTATCATGTTCTCGGAAAGTTGGCATAGAGATTAATTTTGCATTTTTACTTTGCCAGAATATCAAAATTGCTCACTCTGCCGTAATAAAAAAAGAGGTGGTGGCGAGACGCGTCATCGCTTGCACGAAATGACTACAAATGCGAACTAGTATTGTAATTTACTCAAGTTATGGGTAATTTTGAGTTTCTGTGTTTGCGCTGTGGCACATATATCGTTGCTGTGGTTTATCGTCCATCACCTGGAATCGGGAATAATTTGTTAAACTTCTTTAACGGCTTACTAAACTTTTTAGTAGAAAACAAGTATATTATTTTTCTTCGCGGAGACTTCAATATAACATGCTAGGAAAATACAACTTATAAAAAAGCGCTTGATTCAAGCATTGCCGTTAACGGTTTTAAAATAACGGCAATTTCAGCAGCAAGAATTACATCCACAACGGCTACACTTATTTATTTTTTCTTAGCAACCACGATGCGTCCCCCATCACCCCTAACGCTATTAGCACCGATATCAGTGATAATCTCCCGATATTTATGTTAATAAACACACCTCATAAACTTAAGAAAGGTTCAGCGCAGCGTACTTTTCAAATTCAAAACATAACAAACACTGCATCAGAATACTCTGGGCGTCTTTAAATGTAATTGACTAGAACCAAATTTCTTTGCAAACAAACGCGGACGTTAGGTATGAAGACTTTCTACAGGCATTTCAAAATTTGTGCGAGGAGAGTTTTTCACACGGGGCCGCCAAGCAGTGGAAAAGAATTCGCAAGCCTCGGATGAAAAGTGAGCTTTTGAACAAAATAGACGAAAAAAAAGTCTGCTTTAGAATTTTTTGAAAAGGAGAAACCCAGAGGATTTATAGAGTTTTAAAACGTATCGACATAAGCGTGTTGATATGTAGAAACGTGCGAAGTCCACCTATAATATAAACCTCTTCAAGCAAGAAGATAACAAGGAAGCAGGAGTATTCTGGAAACAAAGTAATAGCGTAACGAATCCATATACGCAGGAACATAATTTAGATTAAGTAACTTGCAAAAGAGGTACACTTTTTGGGTGTTCTTTGTAGAATGCGTCTAATAATTACTTCGTTAGCATAGCAGGTGACGCTGCGGTGTTTGGAAATAGGTTGGTCCACTTAGTTATATCAAAGGTTATTATACAGTCTTTCTCTTTACATCCGACAGATGACGTATATATTTAACGTGTCCATTTCAACTGGCTGTTTTCCAAACACTATGCGGGTTGCGAAAGTTGTGCTTATCTTAAAGGCGGCGATAAGAAGATAATTAAAAATGATAGACCGATTTTCTTATTATAGATTTTTTTCGAAAGTCGGGAAAAGGAAATGCACCACAGATTTTCTTCTTATCTAGAAAAAGAACGCCTACACTTTAATTTTCAACGGGGTCTTTGGAACAAGCGTTCAACTGAAACAGCGTTGATAATGCAAAAAGAAGAAATATTAAAATATATAAGAAAAAAAGAGCTTATTTTAGGTGTGAACGTTGACATTTCTTAGCTCTTTGTTTTAATTAATCGTAACATACTATAAAAAACGTTACAGCACTATGATATCCTCGGAACTGGACTTAAACTGTTTTAATCATATTTGCAATATCGAACGCAGTTAGCTAGCCTAAATAAGTATAATTTAGCAACCAAAAAAAGTCGACTGGAGTCAACCAAAAAAGTGTACTTGGGTCGCTGTTATTTATAATTTTTATAAAAGATATCAAACAATGTGCACCAAACGTTAGGCATATTTCATATGCGGGCAGTACCTCTCGTTTTCTTAAGCGCCAAGCGACTTCTAAGATCAAAATTACGGCGGCATTTGTTCTCGAAAAACAACACTTATGAACGCAAGTCAATGGACTAAAAATAAACACAGACAAAACTAAATGCATACTGTTTAGGTCACGGAATCGTAAAATTTCGTGGCCTTTAAGTATCACGATGAATTCATCTTCTTTAGAGATTGCAAAAACCGTTAAGATTCTTGGTGTCATTTTACTGAATCACATTCTTGAACTGAACACTTTCAATGTATCCCCCCAAACGTTTGCAAAGCAATTGCAATTATATCTAAAACTCAATTTATGTTTCCCGCGCGAGTGAAGTTCCTCTTTTATTATTTCTTTGATTTTCACTCATTACGTGTACTGTCAACTGGTCTGGGGAAGATCAACGAAACAAAATTTAACATCACTACTTCTAACACAGAAGGTATTTTTCACAATTGAAAATCTTCTTTTTTTTTAATCCTTCTGAGGAGCTTTTTTGAAAACAGATTGTGATAATTAATCATTTGTACAACTATCGTTTGATGGGAGTCTACAGTACGGTAGTAAGACAAAATAACAACTTTTTTCTTTCCGTGCTGTCGGGCTTGGTGAGAACAATCCGGACGCATGAAAGAAGACATAGCCAGAACTGGTGTGTGAATACTCACCGCACTAATTATAGAATAACCTCTTTAAGATATAGGCCAGCGTTGTTTTAAATAAGGTCGAAAGTGAAAATATTGGCATTACTAAAAAATCAAGGGACGTATGTTACATGATATGTTATTAGAAACAATGGTTACAACATTTTTTGTAGCTAATCGATGTAATAAGGTGAAGTATCTTGTTTTTTACGCTTGTGTTGTCTAAAAGGTTTCAGCTGTTTGTCTGCCACAGAGGGTAGGGCCTCGCCAAGCTGCAAGTCACGCAGCATTTCCCCCTATTTCCTTTTTTGTACATAAAGGAAAAGAAAGAGATTATTATTATTATTATTTATTATTTATTATCTGGTACTGCTGCAGAAGTCGCCAATGTTTTTCGTGTAGGCCATCTTTTTCCGACACGGTGCTCCCGAAATTCCTAACTAGCTCGGTGTCAACATTGATGGCCCAGCTGACTGAAGAGATTCTTCGGCTAAGCCAAAGTAGCCATCGGTACGAACCACTCCGTACCATCCGCTGACCAACGGTTACAGTACGACTCAACGTACAGCTTCACCCATTCTGACGAGCAGTTTCACCCACCCTGGACGGCCATGCTCGAGGGCATGACGGCAAAAGGGATCGATCGACGCACCGGGGGAGCAGTCTTCCGTAAAAGGGAGAAGTAAAACTCATCGACGGCTTTCTTGAAGACAGCAAATTCAACATCAATTCCCGTGATCCTTAACTCTTTTCTGACTAAGGGAAATGTAGCCATCTTCAAGGGATCCGTTTAAACACTTTTATTTTCCTAACTGACTTAAGTATGGAGACTACAGCAGATCAAAATATGCAAATTTAGTCGTTTTTTTTTTTTAAAGAGGCTATACATTGTAACGCTAGAACCAAGTGTTTGTTTTCTTGTGAATACCAGGCGAAACACCCGAGTTAAAAGGTAGCTTTCGTAGATCACTTCTTTAGCTCCGAATCTCGCAGCAGAGGTAGACACTGCTACTGAGGATGCGCACCGCTAGGAATTTGTCTGCACAATTCGAGGGGTCATTTTTGGATGCCATAAGCTAGCGGAATGGAGTGTGTGGTTGCAGCTTTCGGTGCCTTGTCAGCTTGCAGGTGAACGGCGTACACCTACACTGTTTCTCTTAAATTTGAGATTTTGTTTTTAGAAAGACCACCATAAGTCGGGCGCATGAGAAAGGAAAATTAGTGTAGCAGAACCTTTTTCACAAAATAGCAAAATTGCTTCTATTATTTTCTGGATTAATTTACGTAAAACGTAACGTGAAACTAATTTGTAACGTAACAAGTGAAGTAATCCGTTATTTTTTTGGGCGAAAGTAATTTTTAACGGTAATCCATTATATTTTAGGCTCGGTAATTTGTAATTGTAACCCATTAAAATTTTCAAGTAACGAGCACAAATTTAATATATAGTAATTATATTTGTTCTTTCCCATTTTAATCATACTGAAATTCATCAGTTCATATAAACTCTTTTCAGAATGATATGTGGCAGAATGTACTTGACTATCTCACTTGAGTGATATGGCTTACTAAATATCGCAAAAACATCACGTCAAATTAAATTCGAACTTGCCTTTTGCATGTCTTGATATTGCCAATAATTGTCTTCCTCGTCAAGTAGTATTTCTCCAGGTTTCGCATCGACAAGTATTGCTAAGAAGCACAACAAAAAGGAACAAGGCATCAGCTTCATCTTAAAGCAGCAACTATACAAGTACTCTTGTAACTTCAAGTCGGAGCTTTTATAGTCGGAAAAAATTAATTTTTGACATTACATATGTTTAACCTTTCACTGCTTTGAGCGAAGGAGATCCACAAGCAATTGTTTGTTATGGCCTTTGCGTCATCAGGCATTTAAACATTGTTCATAAGGCCTGTCAAAAGCGTCGAAGCTCCTGTCATTTTATGCTTTTATTTATTGATGAAAATGGACAATAGGCTGATCTCACCAGCCAGTTTGACTACGCCACCTCTGCTGCAATATATCGAGGGAACTTTAGTCTTTCTGCACGTGCGACAACCTTGCTGGAGCTCTGCACGTGTAGACCACGAGCAGCCCCACGAGACTTCTCGTACACTGCCATATGCCTCTTTTGAACTAAAGTTAGGGCGGCTTCAGGCATGCGCCGAATGCTTAGTGAGATCGGACTATTATGACGTCTTACTCAAGCGTCTTATAGTTCACGTTGTTCGACTTCAGTTAGGGGCAGGATTTTGTTTTGTGCCAGGAATAGTTTAGACTATTGCAAAAAGCTGAAAACGTAAATAAGAGAAACACGTGTTTAGTACGCGTTTCACAAAACACCGTCGTGATTTTCTGTCCCCTAATGCGAAGCAGCATTAGCAGAGTTCTGGCAGCCTTGCTCTTATCACACGCGTATTTTTTTTATTAATTGAGGTTTTACATTGGCTTCACATATCTTCTGTAATGCTGCTTTCAGCACCATATACATTTATTTTTGTTTTTCTAGGATATTTTAAATCCTCTGATAACGTACTAACCCTTTCTTTTTGGCGTTTACTAATTTTTTGTCAAACTCAATTAGTGTTTTGGCCACGTTACTGAACTTTCCCCGCTAAATTTATGGGAAATGCCCAAACAAACGGACGGACGGCAAAAAAAAAATAATTGGGAATGGGGGTTTTTGTTAAAAAGCATTTAGTGCTATAAAATGATACTCCAATATCTTTATTGTTCAACGTTGGGCGACAACTCAAACAATCGAGTGAGTGTGAATTCTGCCTATAGACGCGTCAATCTGACGACGCCATCATCCGCATTCCGCAGCTGCATCCAAGTGACATCAAACCAAACAATATTAAAATTCCCAGGAATTTTAATCCCAGCAGAATCAGTTGACGTGTGTGTTTACGCACGGAAGCTCCTAAACACTAGAAATGTTAGCATGTAAAAGGTGCCGCGGGTTCCATCTCCAGCGGCAGTGAGGAAGTGAAGATTGGGCGCGGCGGTACGCGGTACGCGTATCGGCGTACCGTCGTGTACCACTACTGCGCGACACACGCTAAAACTCATCTAGCACGGGTACCGCACTGGCTAGTTTTTTTCATCTCCAGCGGGGCCGGCTTGCGATTCTGCGTTTTAGCTTAAGTACAGACGCAGCCGATGAGACGAACGCGAGCATATGGTCCTAAACAGCGCTTGCACTGCACGAGCGCGACTGCTTGGCACAGACGGTGAAATCGCGGAGCTCGCTCTTGTAGCATCCGCTGCGCTCACACTTAAAGAAACGTTTAAATGGATAAAGAAAAGAAACATTTTTCTTTAGAGGGCTTAGATAAAACACTTATACATTTTGTTTGTAATTATTGTTTTACAAAAAGAAAAATCGCGCAATATTTACGCTGTTAGACGATATTTAGGTGGAGGACACGACACGCTCTAAGCACCGCCCACAGATCAATGGCCCCGCCCATTACTACTGGGCAGAGTGTCGAACCGAAATTTTTATCGGTTCGGTTCCGGTTAGGGGTCCAAGGCTTTCGGTTCAGCTCCGGTTCAGTTCCGGGGAGCAAAAATGACGTTCAAACCGGTTTCAACTGGTTCGTACCGGCTCGAATCGCTGAATTTAGAATATATTTTCTGCGTTCTTTCGGCAATAGGCAGAATTTCTAAAGCAAAACCAGTAACTACATTGCTTTTCATCGTTCGTTGAATCCACTTTTAATTTCAGGGACCAAAAATAAATTGCGGTATTTAATTTCGATGGAACACCGAAATAAAAGCTTGATTACCGTATATAACTCTAAATCTGTGTTGTTGTTTTTTTGTCTTTTTTACCGTAGTCGTATATATTTAAACTGAATCGAAACATTCTCAGTCTGGTAGGTCGCCTAAAATGCCCGTGATTATTACTACTTTGCGTCGCACTATTAAGAGTCGAATCCTGTTCTGCTCTTGAACTTACGGATTAATTACAGTGCATAGGGTCATAAAATGGGCACGTCCTCGCCGCATATATTGCGAAATCTGGTTTAGAAAGTACATTTCACAATATATATGATGACCACGACGCGACTGAGCTAGAAGCAATAATATTTTCGAAGTGTTAGGAAAGCTTTAGAACAAAGCCTTTCAGTGTACCTTCTATAGAAACACTGAGCGGCAATAACAATGCTTGCTTTTCTGGCCAAAATTGTTTGCACTCAGCACCGTGATGCAGGCGAAAACTTCTGCAGAAAAGAGTGACCCTCGCACTCATTTCAGGGTCCGATCTAAAATAGCGTGAATCCAGATGAACATTTTCGACACAGCTTGGCGTTTGAGGCTTGTTCTTGACAAGATGCCGGTCAATTCAATCTGCAAATAGGCACCACGCTTGTGTTTTTTTGCGTTTTTTTTTAAACAGAGCAAAGTAGTATTTCATAGTCTACTCGATATCGCAGCTACTTAACTGCTCACTCTCTGACGGCCTGCCCCCGCAATCGTCATATTTTTGCAACGCGCCACTGTGTACTTCGTTTCCGTCCAGCCCACAGACACTTATAGACGTGTCTATCGAGGATAAAAACGCCAGTAAAGATTTGCAAAGCACATTTCGGATACTTTGGGGGTGAATTTACTTATTGTCACGAATGACAAGTGATGAGGCGATAGTAACTGAAGAAAGTAAACGTTTAATGGAGCGAACTTGTGCCCAAAAATCAAAAAGGGAACAGAAGAAAGCAGAGCGTTGCGGGCGTCGAAGTCGGCGTGACAGCGGAGTCGAACGCTGGGGCGAAATTGGCTCCGGCATGCCACGCGGAGCCCCTTCTATACGCGCGTGAGCTTCTGGAACATTCGTAACTAGATCGAACGAGAAGGTTCTCGAACTTACGAGAACGCCATGTAGAAAGAATAAATAAATGAAGATTCCGCTCCCTAGAATCGAACCCGGATCCTTCGTGCGACAGTCAAGCACGCTAACCACTGGGCCCCGCACGTGCTTGCTCGGCAACGCGTGTGGCATTACTTCCCCCCTTTTAAAAGCGCATCGCCTCGATGCGACATACTGGGAAACAAAACGCAACAAACAAAAATAATGGCAAACTGCGTAAACTTGTGAAATACAGTCCTATCCGGCACCATGACAGAACAGCACACGACAAAACAGCACGCGACAAAACAGCACGGTCAAAACAGCACGCGTCAAAACACCACAGCGTCAAAACAGCAGAGCGACAAAACAGCACGCTTCAAAATAGCACACGACGAAACAGCACAGCGTCAAAACGGCAGAGCGACAGCAGAGCACGTGCCAAAACAGCACGGCGTCAAAACAGCACAGCGTCAAAACAGCACCGCGACAAAACAGCACAGCGTCAAAACAGGACATTGACAATATGACAAACAGCACAGAAGTCTGCAGTCTTCCCTCGGTTTCCAGCATCCAGATCCATACCGATCAATCGAGGCACTCAAAACCGAGCAGAGCCTCAGCCAGCAGAATCTGGTAGACAGCCAAAGGGGATGCAGACCGTCGGGCTCAAAGCCCTATGCAAAGATCTCGCAAACGCTACGAAATATCTTATCCCAGTATGACGCTCAGCCCCTCATTGATACCCTTTTTGGGTGTCGCTTTTCCTACACTATGTAAATTGAATGTTAAAGGAGAAAGCGGGTCAAATAAAATCTATTCTTTAGGACATCCTTTTTTACTCTTGTCTCTGTCTCCAAGTTTGTTTTTCCTACTATCGTGGATGTTAATCGGTAGCCAGAAGACTTTTAGCAGTATAAATATCCTGCTAAAGTAACCTCTGGGAATTTACATGCCGAACCAAAGAGGGACATATCGCGCACTTTAGCGAAGGACTGATGGTCAATTCGCCAAGTGAGGACCTTTGGAATTCTTCTGATATTCTGCGGATTACACGACGCATTATTTGCAAGACCTTCATGACAGCGCCCTAACTATAAAAAGGTTAACAGCGTACGATTAATCTCTAACTTTAAGGGGCTGTCAGAAATATGGCTTCATTCACTTTGCAGACTCCGCTATCGTCCATGAGGTTCACACTTCATTGCGGCTGTAAAACTAAGTGCTTGCCAAATAAGACACTCATCACTACTACATCTGAATTAAGATACGAAACTTGATTGAAACTCATCCTTGCTGACATGTTTGGCAAGCGAAGCTGATGAACACAATGGCAATTGGTGTTATGAGTACATTTGACATTTTACCCTTTTTTTTTCTGACTATCAAAGGCACGGAAAAATCCTAAAAAAACGTACCAGCAACAGCTTCACTGTAAAAGGAGGTTCGTACAATTCCATTTAATTGTTTAAAGCTTTCCGCCTGTCACCTATACGGGAATGCTTTACGATGGATGCCGATCGGCAGCTCCTGTTGTGCTAGAAATTGTGGTTCACTACCAACTTCCCTGCCTCCCAAACTGGGTCCGACAAATCCAGTGGGGGGTTGCGAAGCAATTGCTGCCCGCAGTATTTTTTTATGGATTTCAGTTGAGCTAGTTTCAGCATACATTTTATTATGTTGACTGACACTAGTAATCATCATTGAATCATTAAAACTGCCTCTTGTAGACTTGTGAAAAACGTGGGGGTTTCTCCGGGTTGCGGAGTTTGGTAAGCACTGAAATAGGCAATAAATTCTTTTACAACCTAGGGATATTAAATGAAGGGGTCAAGGAGGTTCGAAATTATTCGCGCACAGAGAGGTGAAAAGCGCGCTC